GTATCACAGGGGTCTTTTCAAGGGCAGCGGCATGCAGCAGGCGGGGAGGTTCTGCACGGCCTCTGCGAGGGGAGAAAATGCAAAGGAAGGGATTTCTTGGGACGAGTTCCCCAGCAGAAGCGGGGGATCTCAGCTGACCCCACAGCTGTGCACAGCTGGGCGATGGTGGGCACGTGGCAATCCCCAAAGGGTTAACAGCACGTGCTTCCCGAGATCTGCTACAGTGCATCTTAATAGAGATGGAAGATTAATTATTTTAGTCCCAGATAGATGACTAGAAAGGGCTTTTTGTGTCTAAATATACTCTCTCTTCAAGAACCCATTTAATTTTATACCCAGATATAGATGACTGAGTTGGATGATTAGTTGAGAAAGCAGCGCTTCTCTTCCCCCAGTCCAATTTGTAGCCTGAAATGCTAGAGTGCTCTCTGCAGGCTGGTGCTGGGGTGAAGCATGGCAGCATGGCATGGTGTGGGCAGCCCCGTGGGGCTGGGATCCTGTCCTGCTGGGGCTGGAGGGGAGGGAGGAGGTTCATCTGGTCAGGGTAACTCTATGGGGAGGTGTGGTGTACGCCCCAAGTGTCAGTGCTGGCATTGCAGGGACGTGGGGAGCATGAACACGGAGCTGGCATGGCCGAAACTGATGCCTGCAAGTGAAGGGTGCGTTGATTCCAGCTCCATGGAGCAGCACTGGGGAGGAAAATCCATTTTCCTCATAGCTCAGAGAAGTGTATAATTTCCAGGCATCTGTCAGGCGGCTGCGGATCGTTAGAGCAGTTACGAGCTTCTCTGGAGCATGGCGAGGATGTTTGCAAGTGTAATTCCCATATTTGTGGCAGTGAAGCAAACCAGGCACGAGCAGCTTGGATCCTCTGTTAGGGTGGTTTTCGGAGGCCAAAATGCTCCCCCACCCTGGAGCAGTCTCTACCTGAGTCCAGGGCCAGCCCTGAGCTGAGCCAAGCGTATTTGGAAAGGGATTTCTTCCAGCCTGCAGGCACGGCAGGAGCCAGCACCTCGGCCAGCCCTGCTGTGCCTGTGTGCAGATGGTGACATGCGTCTGGGTTCCCTTTAGGACAAGCAGGAGACCACCAGGGGACCCCATCCCTGGGATGCAGGGCAGTGCCCAGGCAGCATCCCACCAGGCTCAGGGCTGTGCTCCTCCCAGGGTGCAGACGGACAGAGGGACAGCGTGCGTGAGGCAGTGCCATGTCCCAGTGCCCTCCTTGCCCACCGCGCTCCTCCATCGCCAGCATCCTCCGCCAGTAATGAGGCGTTTCCATGGCAACCTTATTTGAGCGTTGCCGGTGACACAGATGTAAATTTTAAAATCAAATATTCCGACCGCAGCCCTCGGAGCACAGAGCAGCCCTGGAGCACAAGCAACCCGGACCCATCCCAGAGCCATCCTCTCCCATTGCCCCCTGCAGGTGGGCTGCGATGCAGACCCCAGGGGCAGCTCCTCCTCCGGCCACGCTTATCTGCGCACCCACACGGATGACTCACTGTGATTAGATGGCTCCTCTTTTATTTGCTTATGGGTCAGGCTGTCAGGATGTGCTTAGGGAAACTTTTTCTTCTTTTTTATTTCCAATGGAAAAAGTTAATTTGCTAAAATAGTAACCGCGGGATGCATGTTTCCTGTTGGGAGGCACGTGGAGATCCAGGCAGCGTTGCTCTGTTTTGACACTTTGGAAATGAAAGACTGTTTTGATTCAGGCTTTTTTTTTTTTCTTTTCTTTTTTTTTTCTTCCCTGCTCTTCAAGATTTAAGGCAAAAAATTGTTTTAAAATTTGAAACCAAACCAAACCATTTCCCAACCATCGCGCCAGTGTGTTTGGATGGACCCAACCTGCTTTTTCCTCAGATCCCTGCTTCACACTCAAGCTGTCTTTTCCCCTCTCCACGGCTGAGAAACCCTCCTGGTGCTGCATGGATGTGTTCCTGCTCCTTCCCTTGCGGGCTGCAGGGCCGCCCAGCACAGGGAACCACTGCAACAGCTTCAGCACCAATCAACCTGCTGGAGCCCAACACCAGAATGAACAACATCGTTAATAGCATCCCTGTAAGCTCTTTAAGGCTCAGCTATAATCAGCTCACTAAAGCCTTTAGGACAGAGATATGAGCCCTAGCAATCAATCCACAGTGCTCTGGTTCCTGGGCAGCGATAGCATCGTCTTAGCACTGGGAAGCCAGCAATGCAGCCACTCACAGCTCGGCTCGTTCAGGAGCGCCGCAGCAAAATGAGTGCCTGATGATTATTTCAGCATCCTTTTATCAAGCACTTGCAGCTCCCTAATTCTGCTAAGCCCCACCAGCTGAGGTGCTGGCGGCAATCAGATCTCCTTGCTCCCCGCAGCAGCACATGGGCACGTGCCATCACTGGCCGAGTGACACAGACCCATCACTGTGGGGACTGCTGTGACCTTGGAGTGCTGAGAAACCCATTTCACTGTTATGGAGAACAGGAGCTGATAGTGAATGGAACTGTGATGAAGGGCAGAGCTTCAGTTTGCATTTAATTGGTTTGTTTTGTGTCGCATGGCCGTGCAGCCTCGTTCACTGCTTTGCTCAGTACGCAACATTTTGCACTGCTGGTGCATCTGGGTCATTGTAGCAAACCCCAAACCACAACAGGGAGACTGCACTGCACACATGCAGTTCATGGGCAGTGAGCAGATCTGTTTCTGAGCAGCAGGAAAACAGAAGCCTTCAAAACTGCAGTAAAACCCAACAGCCCCTAAATGAGGGGGTGGACTGTGTCCTACATGCACATGGGGTGGCTCTGCTACCCCAAAGCCCCACTCCCTGTGGAGCTGCCCCGCCACCTCCCCAGCCCCAGCCCTGCAGAGAGCTCTTCCTACTGCAGCTAATATGAAGCACGGGGGAGTGGAGGCATCCTCTGAGCCGAGCTCCTTCCTCTCTCACATAGCGGATCCCAGAATAGCCCTGGGAGGAGCTGCCGCTTTGCATCAGGTCCCTTTTGCTCCACACTTTCCTGGACATTTGGTGCAGCAGAGTCTCAGCACTCTGTAGTGCATCCCGCTGGCACCCCAGCGCCAGCACTGCAAACACAGCCGCTGCCCCAGCAGATCTCTTGCAGCCTGCAGGCAGCCGCAACGCATTCAAGATAAAGCGACAGGATAAATCCCTTGTATGCTGCGATAGTGTTCCTTTCTCCAGAGCTGGTTTAGCAGATTAGATCAAGGTCAAACACGATCATGTCTCTCCCGGCAGCTCAGTATCTCCGGATCGATTGTGTGGAGCAGAAGGGATTTGCAGTCGGGCAGGGTCCTGCTGTTCCTCCCTCCCAGCTGGCAGGAGGCTCCTGCAGTATTTTCTTTCCCTCAAATATTTGCCTCTATACATCATCTGAAAGGCCATATGTAGTGCAGAGGTGAAACCACCACGAGGCCTTACAAGGGCAATCGGAATTTGCTGCCAAGCAGGCAGCCATCAGCCTATCCAGCCTGGGGCAGAGCTCATGAGGACACACAGGGCTGGTTTGGCCATGGCAGAAGTAACATCACTGGTCACTTCTTCTTGCAGCTCTCGCCACCCTGCCCCAGCCCAGCCATCGTTTGCTTCCTTGAAATACACATTTGCCCTTACAAACTGAAGCATGTTAAGTAGCTCATTACGGGGCCGTGCTACAGAGTGTTTTATTTCATGCTTTGTTAAGGATAGAACCATTTAAATGCTTCCTGGCAAAGGATCTAATAAGAAATTAGTCAACTTTCCGAAAGCATAAAATACGACTTAACAGCAACATCCATTATGAATATGAATTCACATGGCAAATAACCCAGGGCTGATTTTTGCTGTTTCTGTTAACGCTGTGACTTCAGGGGTGTGGGTTCCTGCAGGAGCCTCTGCTGTGTTACTGTGCCCCCCGCTTGGTGCAGGGAGCAGCAGGATGGGATGCTCAGGGACCGAGCCCAGTGCCACTGTATGTCCCTTTTCACAGGACCACAGAATGTTTAGGGTTGGAAAAGACCTCTCAGATAGCCAAGTCCAACTGCAACCCACCACCAGTATGTAAACATAACCACATCCCTCAGTGCCACATCCACACATTCCTTGAACACCTCACGGGACGATGACCCCACCAACCCCCTGGGCAGCCTGTGTCAGTCCATCACCGCTCTCTGGGAGAAGAAATCGTTCCTAATACCCAACCTGAGCCTCCTCTGGTGCAACATGAGGCCATTTCTCCCTGATGTGTGCGCTGGGGGAGGCTGCACCCAGCTGCGGTAGGACCACACGTAGGACCCTGCAGCAGGTCCTATAGGAGCCCAGCACACCCTTCATGTTGAGCTCCTTTCCTGGCGACTGCTGTTTCCATGGAAAATGTTGACTCTCCGCTTTGTGCAGCACTTCACAGAGCTGTGGTGCTGCTCGGGGCTTATTGTACACGGCGGGCTGCAGCCCAATCAGAGCCGGTGGTGGTGAATACATCTGTGCTTCTCACAATTACGCTCGGTGGTAGCGGGGCTTTGGGGACTCTTTGTCTCCTGCAGGCTGCCCTGCTTGGAGCAGAAGGTCGGGGCTGCCTAGGGAGAGGCTTTTCAATCCTGAGTTGTGCGCTGATGCCAGGCAGCGGGGCAGCTGCTCTCCATCAGGCAGCAGCGGGGAAGACAATGGGGGATGGCATGGCCTAATCAGGCTCTTTGAAATGACAGTATTTACTGATGACAATTGCACAAATAAAGGCTTTTCATAGAGGCCAAGCCAGAGAACAAACTCGGCACGAGCAAGCAGACCTTTCTGAGCAGCTGACCTCGAGATAAAGAGACCAAACAGCAGCTCTGAGACTGCGCAATGATGTTCCAGCAGAAACCCAACTTTCAGGGAATCAGCGCAGATTCATTATTGCTTCTCCACAATTAGCAGACAGCGGGTTCTCCACCAGCTGCAGCTCCCAGAGGGCTGATTCCATGCCACAGCACAGCCTGATCTCATGCCCAGCATCACTCAGTCCAGCTTTCCCTGTTCTTTTTGCAGATGGCCGCCCCAAGGCAACACCTCTCCCCACCAGCCCTCATCCACTGCCTGTGGATGAAGCAAGTATGGGGGGACCCAGACAGAGTGCAGCCTTCAACCTGCTGCCTGCTGCTGAGGACAGCCCCAAGCCAGCAGTGGAGGGACCATCACTGCATGCACAGAGCCATATCTTGCCAGCACCCACCGCAGACCCCAGGGCTGACACCAAGCAGACTTTCCCTGCTAAGAAAAAGCCGCCTGCCCTAAAGCACAGTAACACAGCGAGGAAGCAGCTGAAGGCCAAGCCCACGTTGCCAGGGCTCTCCAGGGCTGTGAGCACACGGAGCTCCGTGCTCTCCATGTCCTCCCAAGAGCTGCCCATGCCAACAGAGACAGCGGACGGGCAGAGGCAGAGCCCCCCTGAGCTGCTCGGATGGGGTCCCACCAGCCGCCCTGTGCTGCAGATCTCCCCTTCCACCCCACCACCATCAACTGCTCGGCCCTTCCCTGATGGCCCTGGTGACATGGGCATGGGTCCCACGGCAGCTCCCAGTGGCACGATTAACCAGATGGACAGCGCTGAGAGCGAGATGAATGGCTCTGCCTCAGAGGAGAGCCAAGAAACCACCACCTCCACCATCATCACCACCACCGTCATCACCACGGAGCCCACCCCGGGTAAGGGAACACGGGGATGCGGTGCCACCAGGGAGTGGGATGTGGGGTGGGGATATGGCAGTGGTGAGATGCAGATCTGCCTTCTGGAGCTGCCAAAATCCTTAGTGATTGCAGCAAGGGGTGCTTGAGGAGGGTATCACCACCCCAGGGACCTCTGGAGAGGAGGGTCGCTCCCTTAGCCACAGTTTTTCACCCAAACTGGAAGTGAAGCGGTACGTGCTTCCGGGGGGGAGGGGGGTGAGCTGTGCCCTGGGCAGCCACTGATGTGCATCCCCCAGTGCGCTGCAGTGTGAGCTTCTACGACCCTGAGGGCTACATCGACTCCACGGATTATCCCCCGCTGCCCCGGCACAGCTTCCTGGAGTGCACCTACAACGTCACTGTTTACACTGGCTATGGCGTGGAGCTGCAGGTGAGAAGTGTGTCGGGGAATCACCTCGGCTCTGCCCCCATGCTCATGCTGCAGTACCCCTCCCCATTCCCCTGGAGCTCTGGGTTTCATTTTGCTGCTGTTTCTCAGGCTTTCAGAGAAATGAAATCACAATGAAATCACAGAAGCAATGTCCTACCCTGCTTGTGCTGACTCTGGGCAGGGTCTGGGCCATCCCATGTGCCAGGGCACATGCACGGGGAGAGTGGGAGCCCCCACATCTGCCTCATTTTCCCCCCTTGGGGTCTGAGGGAGTCCCTCAGTGCCACCCCCATCCCCTGCACTTTGGGAGTAATCGGCACAGGGAGGCAGCAGTGCTGGCTGTGCCTCTCTGGAGAGCTGTTTTGAGGCTGGGGGGAGTGGTGGGTGCTGCTGCTTGTCCCTGGCTGAGGGGCAGTGCCATCATGGGGAAGTGGCTCCATGCCCCTGAGCCCCCCCCTTGCCTTGCCAGGTGCTGGCAGGTTTTCCTCCATCACTTTTTAATTATTTCACATGTACCAGCAGTGCGAACCAGTGGCACTGCAGCTAATTACATTGGGCAGGTGCTGAAGTAACAGAGTGCAACTTCCTCAGCTCTCACACAGTGATGGGGATAATTGGATAATGTTTAAGTGATTTTGATTTAATTCCCAGCTCCTGTAATGGAGACAAGCGGGGACACCTCGCTGGGCGGGGAGAGGATAGGCAGCGAGCTCAGAGCTCCACTTTCCCCTGGGTTTGCCAGGATGCAGCATGGGGAGGGCTGAGCAACTCCAAACACAGAGATCCTCTGCTTCTCAAAGGGCTGATCCTGATTCTTGCTGAGTCAGGTTCTTGCTTGGCTTGCTGCAGGATGTCTTACCAGGGTCGGGGGTACCCAGCCCCCCCAGCATCCCCGCTGTGCTCACAGCATCCTGCAGCAGCCCCAGCACACTCTGTCCCTTGTCCCTGTGCTTTTTTTGCAGCAGTTTGAGAGCAGAGCAGCCAGCGCTGAGAACGTTTGACAAAATTGTCGTTGTTTTTGAGAACTTGAATTTTCTTGGCAGGCAATAGAATTTCCCTAAAGAGATTTTGTAGTGGGTGAGCAAGCCTGGCAGCCTGAACCAAGGATCCCTCCTGCCTCCCCGGAAGGCTCTGCAGGAGCTGACATGGGTTCTGGCTCTGCTCACAGCAGAACCTATGATCCGCAGCCCCTGGCAGGGCACCATCAGCAGTGATTCTGCAAAATAAAGCATAAGCTTCTGGGTACAAGTCCCCATGCTGCACCCCGGCTGGCTTTGACCTTTCTTGGCCCCTCCTGCAGCACCGAATGCAGCCAGGCTGCGGGATGAGGATGCAGCTGCTCCTGGTGCCATGTGCTGAGGGGCTGCTAGGGCAGAGGGGGATGCAATGTGACAGTCTTAGGGCCATCCCACCCAGGAAGCCCCACTCCTTGCAGAGCACACCAGATGGCCCTGCAGCTCCCCAGCACTGGGTTCCCATGGGCTCTGCACATCTGTGCTCCATGCAGCGGGGCGGGGAGATGGGCATGCTGTGACAACAGCAACAAACCTTCCCCGTCACAACACCGTCGAGAGAGTTTGCAATTACAGGCTGTGGCTGTGCTAAATATAGATCCCCAGTCCTCGTGCACTTAAGGAAACAAATGATCTGATGAGCATCTTTCTGCTGAAATACGAGCCCGTTTATTAAGCTAAATGGACACAAAATGCAAATGCGAGGTTACTTCACAGCTATTTCCAAATAATAACTAAAGCCTGTTGGGACTGCTCATGAGGAGCGTTTGCTGGGACTCCCCATCCGAGATGGGGATGGGGAGGGATGGTGGTGCACTGGGTGTGCAGTGAGCCATGAGCCCTACACGAGCGCTGTGATGGGTGGGTGCTCTGCACGCCTGGGGGTGGGGGTGACCCCCATATGGCCCTAGGATGCTGCCCTGCTGCCCCATGGCTCTCCTCCCACCCAGGTGAAGAACGTCAACCTGTCAGACGGGGAGGTGCTTTCCATCCGTGGCGTGGATGACAACACACTGGTGGTGCTGGCTAACCAGACGCTGCTGGTGGAGGGCCAGGTCATCCGCAGCCCCACCAACACCATCTCCGTCTACTTCCGCACCTTCCAGGACGAGGCAGTGGGGACCTTCCAGCTGCACTACCAGGGTGGGTGCCCCGGCCCCATGGGTGCCCCAAGTGCTGCGTGCAGGGTGGGAGCAAATGGGAGCGCCTGTCCTGCTGGGGTGCTGGGTCCGATAGCCACACATCTGCTCCTCCCCCCATTCCTGTCCCCATTCTGCAGCTCTTCCTGCACAGGCTCTCGCTAAATTATCTATTTCTTTTTCCTTGAGAAGCTATAAAAAATGGATGAGTTCGAGGAAATTCTTTCTAAAATAGAAACTGGGTCTGGTCAAAAGCAGTGAGAGGTGGAAGGCAGCGCTGTGTGCATGCAGATTGCCCCACAGCAAGCTCTGACTGTGGCGTGGGACATGTAGCATGGCTGGGAGCAGGCAGCCCTCAGCTCTGCACTCTGTGCTCGTTGCAGTGTTTATGCTGAGCTGCAGCTTCCCACGAAGACCCGACTTCGGAGATGTCACCGTGATGGACCTGCACTCGGGCGGCATCGCTCACTTCCACTGCCATCTGGGCTACGAGCTGCAGGGCCCCCATATGCTCACCTGCATCAATGCATCCCGGCCCCACTGGAGCAGCCCCGAGCCCATCTGCTCAGGTGTGGGCACGCAAACAGCACAGGTGCAGGGGGAAACCCCAAAGCAAAAATGATCTGGGTGCTTTGTGCTGCTTGTCGAATGCAGTCCTGACAGCGATGCCAAGCTGTGCGACTCCAGGCGTTCTGTGGCAGCAGAATGTGTCCCCCGCTGAGGCGGGTGAGGGGGGACGTGAGGGCTGTGCCCCTTGTTACCCCTTACCTGCCCCACTCTGCCCTGCAGCACCCTGTGGAGGCACCGTGCACAATGCCACCATCGGCCGTGTCCTCTCGCCCAGCACCGCGGGCAACCAGTCGGGCAGCATGTACTGCGTGTGGGCCATCACAGCACCCCCGGGCCAAAAGCTGCACCTGCACTTCGAGAAGCTGCTGCTGGCCGAGAGGGACAGGTGAGGGGTTGGTGGCACTTGGCTCTGGTTGGGATGGGACCAAGAGGAAGAGAGGGCGTGGGACACCAGTTCCTAATGGGGTGTCCAAGAGCACAAAGGGACACCTCGTGCTGCACATCCAGGCTATCAGCATTCACATAAGCAAACACACCTCGTGTTTAGAAAGCATTGGAATTCAGCCCGGTAACAGGCAGCGTGCCAGGCTTACGGGCCATAGTAAAATCAAAGTGTAAAAATCCAGCTTAATATATGGGTAAAAGAAACTGATCCGGTTGGTGAATTTTCATTGGCACCATCTCTTCCAATTGCTGGATTTTGGGAGCACACAGGGAAGGGCTGGGGCGCCTCACGCATCCCCGAGGCGCTGCATCCCTCCTCCCCGACTCCTCCCTCTGGGGGCCGACCCCCGGCTCCCTGCACAGGATGGTGGTGTACAGCGGGGACAGCAACCGCTCGGCCGTGCTCTACGACTCGCTGCGTGCTGACAGCGTGCCCTTCGAGGGGGTGATCAGCGACGACTCCTCCATCCGCATCGACTTCCTCGCCGAGGAGCCAGCCGCCTCCACTGCCTTCAATATCCGCTTCGAAGGTGATGCTCTGCTGTGGGCTGGGGGGCTGCAGGAAGGGGGTCGGCCACAACGCTCGTCGTGCTGCTGTCCCCGTGGTGCTGCCAGCATGCATGGCGAGCTGAACCTCCCTATTGCTGCAGAAGCTTCAGGGTGTGCATTTCCCGAGCAAGAAAAAGGAAAAGAGCAGGCTTGATGACAGGTGGTAATCCCAGGAAAGATTGCTTGGTAAATACAGCAGTAACAACACAGAGAGTGCATTACTGATGCTGACACACAAAGGAAGAAGTGGGGTTTGGTTAAGCCTGCATGGCTCAGGACAGATAAACGGTTGTTAATCCTAATTGCCTGTAATGAACACCGTTTGTGTGGCGGGGACTGGGCATGGCAGGGATGGAGGCACGGGCTCCTGGTGGGGTGGTGGCACAGCCCTGGGGCTCCTCCTGCAGAGCTCAAAGCTGGAGGCAGGTGGGGCATTGGGGATGGGGCCATGCTGCTCCCCAGCCCCCATGTGCACACCGCTAATGGGGTTTTTCCTGCAGCCTTTGAGCGGGGCCACTGCTACGAACCCTACATCCAGAATGGGAACTTTACCACCTCCGACCCCACCTACAACCTGGGCACCACCGTGGAGTTCACGTGTGACCCTGGGCATTCCTTGGAGCAGGGCCCTGCTGTCATCGAGTGTGTCAACATGCGGGACCCCTACTGGAACGACACGGAGCCGCTGTGCCGAGGTCAGTGCCAGCACCAGGGGGCCTTGCCATGCTCTGGTACACGAGGGCTGAGCCCTGCCTCTCTGCTGCAGCCACGTGCGGGGGGGAGCTGACGGCCATGGCCGGGGTGATCCTGTCCCCTAACTGGCCAGAGCCCTACACGGAGGGAGAGGATTGTATCTGGAGAGTCCACGTGGGTGAGGAGAAGCGGCTGTTTCTGGACATCCAACTGTGAGTTGCTCTCAGACATCTGCACATATCATGCCCCTGGCCCTGCTCAGCCCAGTTCCCTGCAGCATCCCCCTCCCAGGAACCAGCTCTGTGTCTGTTGTGCCCCTTCTGCCCTTCTCTCATCCCCTGCAATGTGCTCAGTACCCATTGCATTGCAGCATCCACTGCATTACAACATTCATCACTTTGCAGCATTCGTTGCATTGCAGCACTTGCATTACAGCATCCATCACTTTGCAGCACCCATCACATTACAGCACTCATTGCATTGCAGCATCCTTTCCCCTACAGCACCCATCACATTGCAGCACCCACTCCTCACTGCATCTGGGGGTAACTCAAAGGGGAATGGGTTTTATCTCCAGGCAGGGAGCCTTGGGCATGGTAATGCTTCTTATGCAAAGGGAATCTCCTCAGTGCTATTTTGGAGGAGGGCATGTCTCAAGTAGGGGCTTAGAGTCAGAAAGGCTTTAAAGCTTTCTGTAAAAATCACAAGTCAGAGCTCCCCGTGAGGCTCTGCTGGATTTGTGGGCGCTTGGGCTGAGCAGGACTGGAGACCAGGCGATTTGAAGTCATCAGACATAAATGTCACCGAGAAAATCATGTTTGACAGAAAGCAGAGATTTACTACAAATGTCAGCCTGCCATGGGGATTAACTGGGCGCCTTCCAAGAACATTCTTAATAAAATGTTTGGGGATCGGCTCAGGCATCTCCAAACAAGGCTGAGTCAGATGGGTGGATGTGTGGGGTGCCTGAGCACACCCCCGGCCCAGGATGCTGAGCAGCATAGTGGGATTGATCCTGCCCAGCACAGGGCCGGGTGTTCTGGCTCAACTGGGCATAGAACAGCACTGGGCTCAGCCCCAGGGCTTTACAAGGACATTTGCTTGGGCTGTTGCATGGGACATTGCACAGGCCACTGCACTGGACATTGCGTGGGCCGTTGCATGGATTTTGCATTGGACATTGCACAGGACATTGCATGAGATACAGCATGAGACATTGCACAGGACATTGCGTGGGACTTTGCATGGGATGTTACATGGGACATGGCATCGGATGTTGCATGGGACTCTGCATGGGATATCCAGAGCCCGGGCTCGGAGCGGAGGGTTGCTGCCGCCTCAGACCTGGTGTAGACTTCTCCTGCGGGCTCCTCTCCATCCGCGGGGCAGCACTGCTCTCTGCTGGCGGCGGGGACGCGGGGCGGGCGGCTGCCAAAGCGAATCGGTTCTGGCACCGCGAAGAGCTTTGCTGGGTCTGACGCTGCTGCACAGAACTGCAGCGCTGCGGCCACCGCGGGTGTCACCGCTTGTCTCATGGGGCCGGTGTCGCTCCCAGCGGGGATCTCGGCTGAAATCTGTAAGCTGTGTTCTGCGGGTGTCCTTGGGAGTCCTATGCAGCTCCAAACCTATGGGGGGCCTGGGGTAGCAGGGGAAAGCCTCGGCTCCTTCTCATTGTCTGCAGCAGGGAGAGTGGTCTGGGGCTGATGATGGGGCTGCAGATGGCGATGGAGCCAGGGCTGGAGGAGCAGCACTGCTGCTCTGTTCAGAACAGGCATCCCCACAGAACTTCCCAAGCCACTGGGGACAGGACAAGCACACAGACAGGATGCATGCAGTGTCAGGCAGAAGGTCACCTCACTGCCCCTTCATTCCACACCCAGCATCCTGCTGGTTCCTTGCTAGGCTGACCGAGCTCTTCTTTCCAGCCTGAACCTCACCAACAGTGACATCCTCACCATTTATGATGGGGACGAGCTCTCTGCCCGCATCCTGGGGCAGTACATTGGCAGCAGCGGCCCCCAGAAGCTCTACTCCTCCAGTCCTGACCTCACCATCCGGTTCCACTCAGACCCTGCTGGGCTCATCTTTGGGAAGGGCCAAGGATTCATCATGAACTACATAGGTAGGGAGAGAGTGGGGTGCTGGGCTCATCCCCAGCCCTGACAGCAGAGGGGGACAACAAGCAGCTGGAGCAGGGTTTGCAGGGGACAGTTTTGCAATTGGGGATGATTGCTGGGCCACAGCTCCTCTCCAGCTCCAGCAAACTCCCTGCAATACCCACAGCCTGCTGCAGGGCTCTGGCTTGGTTACTTCTGGGGTGACTTCCAAAGGGGCCTCGTTATCCCTGATGCCATCTGCAGACCAGCAGGGCTGCTCACAGAGCCGTGGTGCTCAGGGTGGGATGCACACCCCACAAGGAGCCTTGTGCACGGGGTGACAGTCAGCACTTGTCCCACAGAGGTGTCGCGCAACGACTCCTGCTCCGACCTCCCCGAGATCCAGAACGGCTGGAAGACCACATCCCACACCGAGCTGGTGAGAGGGGCCAAGATCACCTACCAGTGTGACCCAGGTTATGACATCGTGGGGAGTGACACGCTCACCTGCCAGTGGGACCTGAGCTGGAGCAGCGACCCTCCTTTCTGTGAAAAGAGTGAGTGCCCCAGTGCCTCACTCTGCCCTGAGCAATGTGCTCCGTGCCCCCAGGACCCACCCCACATCCCCTCTTCTCCCCAGTTATGTACTGCACAGACCCAGGAGAGGTGGAGCACTCGACTCGCCTCATCTCTGACCCCGTGCTGCTGGTGGGCACCACCATCCAGTACACCTGCAACCCTGGCTTCGTGCTGGAGGGCAGCTCACTGCTGACCTGCTACAGCCGCGAGACTGGGACGCCCATCTGGACCTCACGGCTCCCACATTGCGTCTGTGAGTGCTGCAGCCCTTCCCTACAGCTTGATGACAGCTCAGGAGCTGAACTTCCAGCCTCCTTCCCTTCAGCCCTTGTCTCACCCTGCAATGTGCTCCTTTCCAGCGGAGGAGTCTCTGGCCTGTGACAATCCAGGGCTGCCAGAAAATGGCTACCAAATCCTCTACAAACGCCTCTACCTGCCCGGCGAGTCTCTGACCTTCATGTGCTATGAGGGCTTCGAGCTCATGGGGGAGGTGACCATCAAGTGCATACTGGGACAGCCATCGCACTGGAGTGGGCCACTGCCCATCTGCAAAGGTAGCGCATAGCAGGGCAGGCAGCACCCATTGGGATGGAGAACACTCATTTGGATGGGCAGCATCCATTGGGATGGGCAGCACCTACTGGGGTGGGGAGCATTCATTGGGATGGGCAGCACCCACCACCTCTGGCTGGTGCCACCACTCCAGGCAGAGACATCCTACACATTTTCTTGCCCAGTCTGCTCAGCCTCTGTGTGAGCACTTAAAAAGAACAAATGATCATTAAGTGCTGAAAGTGTGCAGCACATTTTGTGACCAAATGGGATATGGAAAGCCTAGCACAGATTCCTATGGTAGCCTCAGTATGGCTACGTGAATCCCCCTGCATGCGAAGCTGTAGCACCCAGTGCACACACAGCCACCTCCCAATAACTCTCCATTTCTCTTCCAGTCAATCAGGACAGCTTTGAACACGCTCTGGAAGGTGAGTGACACATTTGCTGGATCAGCCCCTTGCACAACTCCCTGGGGCCAAGCCCCACCTCACCACCACCCCTGCGCTCTAGCCCAGCACCCCCAGGTGCTCCCCAGCCCAAAGCCCACAGCACTGCAGAGACACTGGGACTGAGGCAGGTGCATGCTGCAGGAGCCAATAGAACCAGCCCACTGCCCCCAGTACCCCCCGTCCCATGTGAAGGACTGGAGGAGCGGAGGCAGAGGGGCAGCAGAATGTGCTGAGAAAAAGCCAGCATAAGAGGTCATGTCCTTTTAGTAGCAGAAGCTGCTGCAGAGACATCGTTGGAGGGGGGAAATATGGCCTTGGCCATCTTCATCCCGGTGCTGATCATCTCCTTGCTGCTGGGAGGAGCCTACATCTACATCACCAGGTAGGTGGATGGCAGAGTTCCAGGGAGCATCACCACGTCCTGCTGGGCTCCAAAGCCCAGCACAGGGCACCCCCTGCTGCTCCCAGCCCCAGGCTGGCGGGGGGCACACGGAGGGTCTCGCATTGCTGCAGGGCTGTGCATCTGAGTGACTCTTGCCTTGTCCCCAGGTGCCGGTACTACTCCAGCCTCCGCCTGCCCCTCATGTACTCCCACCCCTACAGCCAGATCACGGTAGAAACGGAGTTTGACAACCCAATTTATGAGACAGGGGTGAGTGCTGCTGTGCCTTCCCTCCCCAGGTGGCCCCCAGGGTGTCTCTCACCAGTAGAATCATAGAATATCCCAAGTTGGAAGGGATCCATAAGGATCACCCAGTCCAACTCCTGGCTCCACAAATCCAACGGGGTGATCATCCCAAATCGCAGCTGCTGCCCTAAAATGGCTTTTCCTTCTTTCCAGGAAACAAGAGAATACGAAGTTTCGATATAAAGGCAAGAGAGTCTCCAGCTGCAAACTTAATGTGCTCTCATAGAACTTCCTCAGTAACTAATCCAGAGACTATGTGGAGTTTGGTTGGACCCCTGGACCTGCTGTTGTCTTTCCTTTTGCCTCCTTATTGAAGATTTTACTGTTTTCTTCACTGTATTTATTCTATTTAAACTGCGCTAGGTGTGCTGCAGAGCCGCGGGGTCTGCGCCCGGACCCCGGGGGGGGGGGGGGGGGGGGGGGCAGCAGTGGCACACGGGGACAGAGCTCCATCTCCCCGTCCCCCGGCCACGCACCCACAGACGGGTTTTGCAGTTCTTCTGTTGTTAAAAATTAAAAGCGCCTCCATTGAAAGAGCCTGCAATTGATTGCTCAGAGCTGACGTAGGCGAGGGTTTGCTGCAGCCACGGCTCTCCCCACGGCACGGGTGGCACGGCTGGGGTGAGGGGACTGCTGCTCTCTGCTCCTCTTCAGCGCCATCATCAGCACCAGGGCAGCCCAAGCACTGCTGCAGGCTGCTGTGCCCCTTCGCCCCGCGGTAGTATCTCAGGGTAAGCATGGTCTGGGCCCTGTGGGGGCTGCCACCTGCCTTGGGGTGCTGCGCCACGTGTCCCCAAGCCACTGGAGCCCTCAAGGTTTGCACTTTGCTCGCGGGCAAAGCCCTCCCAGGCGATGACAAGGAGAGGGGGTGAAGGTGGAGATTTGTTCGGCAGCAGGGCCAGGCTCCAGCTTGGAAATGGGAAGCAGAGAGGCAGAATCAGCCCTCAGAGCTGCTCTGGCAGAGGCAGACCCCGCAGCAGCTTCATTTTGGGCCTCAGCATCCCCCGTGCTCCTTCACTTTGGGTGCATTCACCAGAGCTGGGTGGCGGGCTGTGGGTGGGCAGCGATGCCCCACCACGTCCCGGGCAGCTGCTGTCTCCTTTTGTCCTTGTAAAATGGCAACGTAACTACGACAGTGTTGGGGAGTCTGTTTTAGTTTCGGGATGGTTAGTGCATCTCTGCAGTGTACAGCTGAGACTTAGATCATTTTTGGTTTTTGTTTTTGGTTTGTTTTGGTTTTTGTTTTCTTTTCCTTTAAAAACAACGAATGTGTGTTTGTAATTTGTAAAGGTTAAAGAAAAAAAAAAAAAAAAGACAAAAAAAA